TTGGAATGTGCGTATGTGGCAGTTAATCGTTTGTTTATTGTCATATTTTTTAATTTCTATAGAGTACTATCATAAATTTGGGTTGTTTATTCCTTAGATTCTTCAGTATGATATGTGGAATGTTACTCCCACAGACCTATGGGACTGGAAACTTCTCAAGGAGAAGATTGCACAGTAAGTAAAGAGATGTAAAGTAGTATTAGGTTAGGAGGGATTGGGTTTTCTTGGCTCTTCTAAAGTTAGGTATGTCATTGTAACTTCTGAAACTCATATTTACTCCTATTTTAAATGGGGCTAAAGTGACCTCTCTCCCAGAGCTGTTTCTGGAAAAGTACTTTGTAAGAAGAAATGGTAACCTGCAAGCTGCTTGGCACAGTGAAAGCATTTCAATATGTGGTGGGTATTATTGATTTTGTTTTAGGAGCTGACCACCTGTATTAGGTAATTATTTTTCTCATTAAGCCATAATTTTTCCAGGTATGCTTGCTTTTAAAAAATGTTTTTCACTTAAAAATGCTTACCCACATTGGACTTATAAGTGGCTTTTTAAAAAATTGATTGTCATAGGAATAGAGAATTTGAAAGAGGTTTTGAAAGATAATATGTTTTAACTGAAAAATTTATTAAAAATTGAGTCCATTGTGCTAAGGGTATAGCTCAGTGGTTTACCATTTGCTTTAGGATATGTAAGGCCTTGAGTCTTTGTAGGCTTTTCAGACTAATAAATATAAGTGATTTGAGGGCAGTTGGAATGTTTTGCTGAGTGAATAACGAATGGTTTCTGATCAGGATGTTTGTCATCATGGGTTAATGCAGATGCTAAGTGTTTAATGTTTGGAAAAGAATGCAGAAGCTTTAAAAAGCTTTTCTAAGGCTTGTGTGGTAGCTCATGCCTATAATTCCAACTACTAGAGAGGCCATAACTAAGAGGATCATGCTCTGAGACTGGCTCCCAGCAAAATGTGAGACACTGTCTGAAAAATAACCTAAAGTATAAAGGGCTGGAGGCACAGCTCAAGTTGTAGAATGCCTGCTTAGAAAGTACAAGGCCCTGAGTTGAAACCCCAGTACTGCTGGACAAAACAAAAAGCTTTTGTGAAAGTGCCTATTTACTTTAAAAATTGTTTTATTAAGTTACACATATTAGAAAATTTAGAAAAACATACATGCCGAAAGGGAGAAAAATGAAAGTTATTAGTAATCACTCTCCCCAGAACATCTGTTTACATCTTGATGACTTATCCTTCAGACTTTCTTCTGAGTATGTGAGCATTCATTTATCTTTTATAAAAGTGGACTAATGCTACATTTTATATTAGTTATTATGAATTTTTCTTTCTCAAAGCACTAAGGGTTAATTAATTATATATATATGACTTTATTTCAGAATTAATATATGAATACATGTTCATTGTTAAAATTGTAATGCAGAAATAAAATAGAAAGTAAAAGCCCTTCTTTATATTTCTGCCAGCCACTTGTCCCTCAAACAAAAAATCTAACATAGACATACAGTTTTGTCATGAAAATGCAATCAAATTTTACATATCCTGAGTCTTTGGTAGTGGTTTATTTTGGAAATTTTTCTCTTAGTACATGTATGATTATGAACATTAGTGATTATGAACAATTCCATAGTCCAATTATATCATAATTGACTTTTCACAACATTTTCCTGTCTGCAGACAGATGAGGAAGTAAAGACATGGAGATAATTGGTGGTTTGCCTGATGTCTTACAACTAGAGATTGACAGAGTAAGGTTGAGAACTCAATTCTCCAGACTCCATCAGAATCTGAGTCTCAATGCTAAGCACTGTATGAATGCATAGGCATAAAGTATAGAAAAGACATGTTCCTTATGTTATAGAAACTGAAGACTAAGTAAGGCAAGTCGTGTAACACAAAGAGTATATATGTAAAGATATTGGTCATATGAAATGTTTCAGAGCAAATATTTGTGTTTGACACTTAAATTTTGTTGCCTGCCTTGTCAGGAAAATTGTTGCAGAGTTGGTATCTCTTAGGCTGAGCTTTGAAGACTTCTCAGTGTGTTAACATAGTATATTCTTCCTTAAATACTCTTTGGCATTAAATAGTGTAAAAAACTTTTAATTAGTAATACAGGAAGTTGGGAATATACTTTGAGCCTAATTTTTCCCTTTTCACAGGGTAATGGAGAGTTGTGATACATGACTAATTCTGTCCACTTTCACATTGTGTTTCCTGAAAGGACCTAGCATAGTGATCATATAGGCACTTAGAAAAGAATGAGGAGAGCTGGATGTGGTGCCTATAATCCCAGTTACCCTGGAGGTGTGAGAATGGAGAGTTTGATGTCAACCTTGGCAAAGTCAGTGAGACCCAATCTCAGAAACAAAAGAATAAAACAAAAGGGCTGGGAGTGTGGCTCAAGTGGAAGATTGCTTGCCTAGCCTATGTGAGGCCCTGTGTTCAATGCCCAGCACTGAAAAAAGAGAGAGAGAGAGACAAAAGAATGAGGAGAGTTGAATGAATATACCCAAATGTAGGTGGGCAGTTCTTTAGTAACTGATTTGAGTGTTCCCTGGACAAGATAGTGTATTAAGCACTGAGGTTCCTGAGTACTACACTGTAAGTAGCATAAATCATAACATAAGGATTGCCAGTAGTAAAAATTGTGCTAATTCTGTTCAGGGTTTAGGCATTTAAGAAAGAGATGAGCATTAGCTCATTCCTGCTGTGAGTTGCATCTCTATAGCCAATAGGAGTTTAATTCAAAAGTCAACTTGTATCTTAAATGCATCTTCATGTACTACAGTGACTTAAAGTAGCTGCCTCTATGTCATATTGAAGCATCAGCATTAGTATCTAATAATTTCCTTTTCTTTTAGGTATGGTATAAGAAACAGTTTACTTATTGCCCCAATGCCCACTGCCTCAACTGCTCAGATCCTTGGGAATAATGAATCCATTGAACCGTATACCAGTAACATCTATACTCGCAGAGTCTTGTCAGGAGAATTTCAGGTGAGAAGTTCACAGCCAGATTTACAGGAAGATCTTTTAAAAGCTTGATTCAGAGTAAATTGCTCACTCATATTTAGTATGCCCCTTTTTCTTAGTTTTGGGGGCATGATTTTGTTACAGAGAATCATCTTCATCTCAAATATTCTGTTATTTCAGCATAGAATAGACATTAGTAAATATCTGCTGAAAGAATGAATGATTAGAGATTGAATATAAAAGTAACTTGCTAATATTAACAAGTTGTCATTGACATGTTTAATTATTAAATGATTTTTAAAATTATTCTATGGTTATGATTAATTATTATATTATAGCATATGATAGGAATCTATGCTTAAGTTGGGTTACTGAAGATGTATTTAGAAGTATCACTAGTTGGGCTTGGTGATACACTCCTGTAATACCAGAACTTGGGAGGCTCAGCCAAGAGTATTACAAGTTCAAGGCCAGTCTGGATTATACATCAAGACCTTGTTTCCAAAAAAAAAAGAAAAAGCGTTATTTAAGCTTGGTTCTCAGACCAATTTAGAATTTCTTGTTGATGGTGCCAGTGTTGTTTTTTAACATTCCCAGGTAATTCTTTTGTGAAGGTAGGGTTGAGACTTTTTACTTGTAAATTTCCAGATATCCTAAAAGAAATTTTTGTGAGTTTTAGAGAAGTTACATTTTGAATTGTTTTACTTAAGTACTTATTGTATACTTACTTAGAAAAAATAAACAAGAACCAATCCATATAGTTTTACTCAGCCTAGATGATGTTGATCTTTTCACGTTTGCAAATGCCATGTATATATTTTTTCAGGTTTATTGAGGTATAGTTGACAAAAATTGTATAAATTCATGATATACAATGTGATGATGTGATACGTGTATATATTGCACATATATTATGTTTCTTAAATAACAGATGTCAAGATCTGTTTTGTTTTTGTTTTTGTTTTTTTTGCTGTATTGAACATTAGGCAAGTGCTGTACTGAGGGGGCGCTGTTTTCTTACTCCCTTGCTTGTTGGTACAAGCTTTTTCTCTTGTTCCTGGTTATTACTGAACCTAACTGGGCTTAACTGGGGGTGACTGGAGATTCAGAAAAGACAGAAAAGACAACCCTCTTTGCTTATTCTTTAAGGCCTTACTCCTTGCAGTTCTTTAAAACTTGCTTCTAAAGTCTTCTTTAAAACCTTGCTTAAAACCTCTTTCCTGAGACTTGCATTGTCCCATGTTTTCTCTTAGCCGTATCTTTAGTTAGTCGCTTCTGAAAGTCTTTGGCCCTCAGGGCTTGCAGGCTTTTGTTAGCATTCTTTCTTTAGCTTTCTTAAAAGCCTTGGTGCTCAGCTTGCAAAGTCTGGTTCCTCTATTCTTGCACTGTTCCCATTTCTCTTTGGCTTTTTCTTTAGCTTCTAAAGCCTATGTTCAATTACTTTCTTTGGCTTTCTTTTCTAAGGGCCTATGTTAAAGTTCTTGGTGCAGACCTTCATATCACCCCTCTTTAGCCATTCTTTTCCCTTCCAGCGATTTCCCTGCAATTCTTTTTCCCTTCAGTAAATTCCTTTCCCTTCCAAAAGCTTCCCACACCAAAAAAGCCTTAAAGCAAAAGAATCAAGCAAGCAAAAAACCAAGTCAAAGCCCAAAGTAAAAAGCCAAAGCAAAGCAAAAGTCCAAACTTCCATCTATCAGCAGGCCCTAAAGGGGGTGGAGTAAACAGGGTGGAGCATGCGCTCTCTGGAGGTTGAATTTGTAAAACAGGAGAAACCTGAGTCCTGCGTTCTCTGAAAGAAGCTTAAGAAGATGCAGCGTGTTTCTGCTTTTTTCTGTTTCATGGTCCAGGCGTGGCCTATTCCGCCTACATGAAGCAATTAAGCCACATCTCCCTTGCTACATCCAGTTTCTCATAGGTTTTCACAATATACTGTCCACACTACCACTTGAGTTTATGGTCCTAGCCCTTTTTTGTATTTTGATTTTTGAATGGTTTCCAAACTCATCCTTCCTGCCCCTGCCTTCTGAGTGGCTGGAGTTACAGATGTGCCCACGCCAGGCTAAGATATCAGGATCTTAAAGGAATATAACTGGTCTTGTGGTTTTATAAAAAGTAGAATTTAGTAAGCAATCTAATGTTAAATAATTCATCAGTTGATCTTATTTATTTTGAGCTCTAAGCCTGTTATTCCTTTGAAGCCCTGTTCAGTGTTATTTATTTCTTCACATCTTTTTTCTGCTTTCCCATTTAGATTGTAAATCCCACTTACTGAAAGATCTACTTGAGCGTGGCTTGTGGAATGAAGAGATGAAAAAAACCAGATTATGCATGCAACGGCTCTATCCAGCGTACATGAAAGTGAAGCGTGCGCTTCAGAGCGATTGAATGTTAGAGTGCCACCTAACTTATCTCAGGGCAACACAGAGGAAAATTGGCCAGTCATTGTGATTAATGGAACTCAAGTTGCTTGTGTTCATTTTCTGATTGTTGTGCTTACGATTTAGCCATTCTTTCCCATAGCTTCTTATCCTCTTTGGTGTTTTGTGCAGGAAAACACTCGGTTCCAGGTTTTCCTGCACCCAATTGGGAGCTTTTAAAATCTGAAGTTTAGGTTGTACTCCTTGCAGTTTAAAGAAGAATTGTCTGGGAGTGGGAGCCATACATTTAAATATTTTCTTAAAATATTTACATGAATGTTCTCAAATCTGGGGACCATTGACAAAAAATTTGAATTTTTAGAGTCAGGCCTAAAAAAAGCATGGTAGAGTTGATGGCTAATAGTCTAAAAGAAGTCAGAAGTAGCATAACAATAAAATATTTGCAGTTTGGAAAAATCAAGAGGCATTTAATTATGACATAAAGGCTTGGGTAGTTCATCGGTCTGCTTAGCAACACAAAGAATCCTGCACTCTTTTAATTTTTGCATAGTTTTTGTTGTGTTTTGTGATTTTGATGGCCCAGGTTTTGAAACTCAGTTTGAATTCTGGCCTCAAACTGACTAGCAGCACTCCACCACTTGAGCCATGCCCCCAAGCCCTAACCTTTTCAATTTTTGATGGCAGAAACTATAGCATTAGCAGGACTGCTGTGTTTTTAATTGCAAATTAACTCCAGATTTAAGAAAACCTTGGATTTATTTATTGACTCAATGGAGTGGTGGGAGTGCCTAGCAATTTAAAAGAGCTTATTTGTCATTGCCTCCCTGATTCATGGTCTTTGGAGTCACAGTCCTGATGATATGTGTTTTCTGCAAAAGTCAAGATTCATTTATTTGCTGCTTAGCTCTTGATTTTTCCTTCCTTTCCTAATGGGCCTCTAAAGAATAATAAAATTGATGTCCATAATTCAGTTAAAGAGTGACCAGATTGACATTGGTTGTTAATGGGGTTTTGTTGACTTTCTAAGCAAAGAGATACTTAGCCTTGGCAACCGTTGAACGAGGGATTTGTCATACACTGGACAGTAGGGTCAGATCTGGAAAAAAGACCAACCCTTGCATCATTATTCTGTGGTCAGACTGCTTTCTTTGCCTGAAGTTGAGTAGACATTTGTTTTTCTTTTTTCAGAGCATACCAAAATTCCTGATGACCTGAAGCAACTTTGATAAGACTGGTGTGGGAAATTCTCACAGAAAACTGTTCTCAAGATGGCACTGAGAGGAGGTGCTTTCATTGATTCAAAGTCAGGTTCTTTTGAACATCCATATTGCTGAGCCTAAACTATGGCAAAACTCCACTAGTATGCACTTCTATGGCTGGAACAGGGTTGGTAGAGGGAAAATGGAAGGAGGACTTAATTGCTAGCTCACTGTTGTGTGTTTTGATGGAACAGTTTTATATTCTAGTTACCTCTAGATATGTGCCTTCCTAGATTTTTCCTTTCAAATCAAATTGTTTGCAAACCAACCTGATGTTTTTGTTCCAGGACCAAGCTCTGAATTTGGAATTTTCTTGTTTCTGTTAGGATTATTTCTAAGTTTGAAACTTGAATTTCCTTCCATTACTGTCCATTAAATTATTTACCCAATGGTACTTGGTTGTTCTTTTGTAACGTTTTTGATCTTCCTCTTCGCATTGTCTTTTACTTTGTGTGTTGCTGCGTGTGTGTGTGTGTTTATTAACTGGGGTATGGGTTGAACTCCAGGGCTTGCACTGCTAGGAAAAACTGCTGTACCACTTACCACACCTCCAGCTCCATTGCATTATTTCTTCACTATCTCTTGCTCTGGTATCTTTCTTTCTGCAGGCCATCTTGTGCACTACTTACCATTCGTAAAATAAAACTTTGCACATGTCAACCCACTATTCAAAAATACCCATTGTTTTCCCCACTTTATCTACAGGTGTAAAGTCAAATTATTTACCCTTACTGCCAACTGTAAAAGGCCTTTGATTCTGGATTTATCTTATTCCTTAATAAATATGTTGGATTTTTACATACAAGTAGTATATTTATTTTCTTATTTAACTACTTTTCTTGAGGAAGCTACTATCTGCCGTACTGGGGATAACTGAAAGAATATGATCCTTTTTTTTTTTTAAGTATTATATCTGTTATTATTCAGGAGACATGCGTTTAGGCTTTCTAAAATGGTTATGTCTAAGCAGACTGTTGTCTTTTTACAAACCTGGAAAGTCATACACAAAAAGAAAGACCAATTTGAACAAAAAGTATTTAAGAATACTTTCCTAGAGGATATAGAATTGCAAGTTTAGAAATAGTTGACCTGGTTTAAAATTTAAATTTTTTAATTACATTTATTTTAAACATATATGCAATAAACATTAATCTTGAATGTCTGATGTTTCTCAAAAACTTTTCCAATAGTTGTATTTTACTATCCCTTGTAGGTTTAAGACTGGGATGTATTATTTAAGGGACAAAACCTGCAAGTAAAATCCAATCCAGTTCACCTAACAAGAGAAAAGTTGAAAGAGAAGGAAAAGGCATCAAGAGAGGAAAAGGAAGGAAGAGGGAACACAGCGCATTGGTGTGCTTTCTTGGGAGAACAGGAGATGGAATGGTCTGATGTGTGGATCCTGAGAAAAGGCTTAAGAGACCAGCATGTCTTTCCATAAGCCAAGCTACTGAGCATAGATAGCATAGTGGGTGTGCTTGGAAGTGGTAAGGCTTTTGCTGAACCTTATTGCCAACAAAAGGAGTAATTGATTTAAAGTATTTGTTTCTATAAGTGTGAAGATATGATTTAAAAAAACAAAAACAAAAAATAGCTTGATATATTGGAACCAAGTAGAAGTTCTAGGAATGCAAAAGGCATCATGCTTGGGAAATAGGAGTGATGTTAGTAAGTTTAATTAACCCCTCTAGGCATTTCCTTTTCTGTAATTGATTTGTGTAAGGAGCTTTGAAGTTTTGCTGGCTATTGACTGGTTTCCTAGAAGCAAAACTGATGATAACCCATGAAAAGGGCTATAGGACTTTTATCTAGATAAGGTTCCATTGGTCCTCTAAATTAAAGAGAAACATTTCTACGTGTTTGTGTGAAGTTTAATTTTGTCATTTGGCATACAAAAGGTCAAATGTAAAAAAACAAACAAACAAAACACATGTTTCTGTTCTTGAGAGTTCACAGAAGAATTTTTTAAGACATTACATTATACTTTAGCGTTTTGATGTTAAACATATTGTGGTAATCACATAAACATAAAAACTTTACTGTTTTACCCATTTTTTTAAATGTGGAATTCAGTGGCATTTAGTACTTCACAGTGCCCTGTAAGGTACTGATTAGCTTTTCTTCATTCTTTTTCTTTCTGTCCCTCACCTATTTCAATTTGTTCTACCTTCAATGTTTGAGGATTCCGTTTTCTACTGTTAAGCCACTTTAGTGATTTTTTTTTTAATTTCAGTTAATGTTGCTTCTCAGCCTTAGAATTTGGTTTTTTTTTAATTCTTTTTATGTTTTTGCTGACAGTCTGATTTTGTTCATAATTGATTTCCAATTTTCCTTATTTGCCATGTTTGCCTTTAGTTTTTAAGTTATATTTTTAAGATAGCTCTTTTTGTTAGGGAATATAAATTAATTCTAGCCACTATGGAAATCAGTATAGAGCCTCCTCAAAAAAAAAATCTAAAAAAAACTCTGAAGGAAATGTATGTCAGCATACAACAGGACACCTGCATACCTATTGTCTACTGCACACATTCACAATAGCCAAATTATAAAATCAAGCTAGGTGCCCATCAAACAGATGAATGGATAAAGAAATGTGGCTCTATATACACAATGGGGTATTATTCAGCCTAAGGAAGGATGAAATATGTCATTTGTTAGGAGGAAAATGGAACCAGAACTGGAGATCATTGTGTTAAGCTGGAAAATTAAGGCTGACTCAGGAAAGACAAAATATCACATATTTTCTCTCATGGCGCAGAATCTGATTTTAAAAAAGACAAAAGTTACAAGGAGGACTAGTTGGAGAGGAAGGGGGACAAGAAAGGTAATGGAGACAGGATGGGGAAAAAAACTAAACAGAATGTTGATAATTAACGTGCCATGAGCAATGCAACTGATCTAATGGACTTGCAACATAGTGGGGCCAACTCTTTTTTTTTTTTTTCTGCTGGTATTGGGTTTAAAGTTCAGGACCTCACATTGGAGCATTACCGCCACCCTCTTATCTTTTTAGTTACTTTTCAGGAAAGGTCTTGTATTTTTGCCGGGGCTTGGCTTTAGACCATGATCGCTCCTACCTATTGCGTCCTGCTAACTGGACTACAGGTGTACTCACCATGCCTTTTTTGATTGAGATGGGGTCACACTAACTTTTGCCTGGATTGCTCCAATCATTAATTCCTCTTGATGCCTGACTCACCATGAGCTGAGATTACAGTAACAAAGCCACTGGCATGCAGCAATAGTTGGAATTTTTTTTTTTACATGGACTGGGTTTGAACTCGGCCTCACACTGAATTAGTGGACAATTCTTGGAAAATTCTGGATAAAGAATTAGAATCTTTCTTTTATTTTGTATGGGAATTATTTAAAATTTAAAAATTTCAATATGTAGTAAAATGTACTCAGTATTTAAAAAAACCTGTAAGATGCTGGTCAACTATATGGATGGGATTATGAGGTCTGGATCTAGTGTATAGGCATTGGGAGGTGATGGATGTTAAGTACTTGATTGTTTTGATAAATCATACACAGATCTAGTCATTGCTCATTGATTTATTTAACATTTTTTATTTTGTCAGTTAAATATTTTAAAATTAAAAAAGAACAGCATTGAAAAATGAGGCTGAAACTTTAGAACTAATATAACTGTCACTATTGT